CATTTCTCCATATCGAAGATGTTTCAAATTTTTAATCTATAACATCATCCATATGAATTTGTTTCCTTCTTCTCCTTATCAAATTGACCCTAAGATATTTAAGAGGGAGAGAGACATGATGAAAATCAATATATGTAACTCCCCATTGAATAAGATGTTTCTTAACCTATTTGCCAAAAAACATCTGACGTTTGTCACAATTAAAGCGAAGTCCAGAGCAATTCTGAAAATCCTGTAAAAGTCCCATCACTTGTTTTATAGCGAGTTTGGATGCATTAGCAAAAAGAATGACGTCATCTGCATAAGCAAGGTGTGAGACCATCATTTTAGCTTTGTCAGAGAACCGTGCGTGAGGATGTGAAAACTGAAAATGATTAAGCATCCTGGATAAATAGTCAAAAGCTAAAATGAAAATAATAAGGGAAAGGAGGTCTCCCTATTTAATACCACGACATGCAATGAAAAAGCCATAAGAGTTTCCATTAACTAACACAGAGTAAAAGTTGTTAGTCAACAATCTTTTAACCAAAGTGTAAAAACTGGTATTGAAACCCCTAGTTTTCAGAACGTTGATAATGAAATCCCAATTTATGGTATTAAAGGCTTTATTGATATCTAATTTGATAATCAGATTACCACCCCTGCATTTTTTATCAAGATCCTGCAAAATTTCTTGTGCCAAGAGAATATTATCAGAAATATCACGACCTTTAATGAAGGCCGACTGATGAGGGGAGAAGGGAATATAGGTGAGGTTGGAGACGGGCCACAATCAGTTTACTAATAATTTTAGATATAACATAAGTTAGAAAGATGGGCCGAAAGTTCTTCCAATGAGATTTTTCATTTGATTTAGGGATGAGAACAATCAGAGCGGCAGAGAAATACTTTCCAGGATCATCACCCTGAAAAAAAACTTTGAATAGCAAGTACCACCTCGTTCTTAATAAAGTTCCAGCAGGAAATATGAAAAACGAAAGTAAAACCATCTGGGCCATGAGCTTTATGAGAGTTAATATCTTTAAGAACAGTAAAAATCTCCAACTCAGTAGGCGGGTCGGACAGAGAGAGGGAGGAAACCATGTCTCTCTGATTCTCAAATTAGTCTGAAAGAATATCAATGGCAAGTAGAGTATCAGCATAGAGAGAAGAGAAATAATCAGCTGCATTGGAATCAATCTGGTCAGTATCGGTGAGAACAAAGCTCTCATCAGT